CCAACAGATCTAACACTACCTCAGTGTCTATCTGAAAATGTGACAAATATTCAGGACACTCAAAATATACACTTAATATTTACAGATCGTAACTGAATTACATGTTCCAAAAACATGTAATTCATGTGTATCTAGTAATCTAGTAATTTGGATTTCAACTCCAGCTTTGTCATTTACCAACCGTGTGATATTTGTCTCTTTGAGTTTTGGTTTCCACAGGGTAGTCATAATAGTAAGAATAGGTAACCTTTATCAAGGACTTAGACTTACCATGTGCCAGGCATTGTGCTCAGCATTATACCTGCATTAATTAATCATCAAAACAATCCTATGAAATGGGCTCAGATAATCAGCCTCCCCTAGCCCCACCATTTGAGATACAGAGAAACTCAGGTTAGAGAGGTTAAGTAATAACCTCAAGAACACAGAGCCAGTAAGGCACACACGTCATCTCATTTAATTCTCCCAATTAAATGGGGAGTTGTCTCTGCAGATGTAGAAACTGAGGCTTAGAAAGTCAACAGGACTTGCTATAGGCAGTAGTGTGGCTGCATTTTGAGAATTGTTCTATTTGACACCAAAGTTCATAATCTTTCCATTACTTCAAGATACCTCAAAGAAACACACACACACGCAGAGGAAGGTATCCTAACTCTGCGGAAATCTCTTATTTATTGGGACGGTTATGTCTGACACGTACAAGACAGAAACAAATCCCTACCAGGAGCAGGGAACCTTTGCCATCCTCATGAACACAGCCAAGGGCCAATTTGCAAAGCGCAAGTTCCCTCAGACAATTGACCCCTAGCACTTACAGGAGTGACCTAGATGGAAAGTTGGCAAGAATCCTAGATCTGCCATAACTCTGTTCTCCCACACTTGGCCTTCCTGCCCTCAGAAGTCATTCCCACAGGGGTGTGATTGCTTCTTTAGCCCGGCACTCACTACAGCTTTATCCAAGAACAAAAATAACGCCAACATTTAATATCGGCCTACAGCGCTGTGGCTTCAGACTGTCTGGCTTGGGTTCTGCCTCTGATGCTCACTAGCTATGAGTAGGCACGTCTCCCAACGCTGGGTACTGGGGAATATTCTATACAGGGCTGAATGAGACAAAGTCCCTATGTTCACGAAGCTTATATTTTGAAGGAGAAAAACAAGATACAAATTCAAATTAGTTAACAACAAGGGCACCCCAGGAAATGTAACGCAGGTTGGGGAGCAGAGGGTGGGAGATGTTAGCTTAGAGGAGGTGGTCCGGGAAAGCCTCTCTGAGGAGGCGGGCCCTGTGGGAACTGAACACTCAGAACCATGAGTCAGGAAGATTGCTCTGTACTGTACAGAGCCTTGCTCTCACTTAGAGTCAGCTTATGGAAAATTGAGGTCCTGCCCAACATAACCAGCTTCGTGTTTGCCTCGATGCCAACATAGTTCTGTGGGATGGTTTTCCTTTCCCCTCTTCTCTGTCATGTGGCTTGTCTTTGGTGAATTCAGAGATTTAAATAGTTGGCCCTAATACGAGCTGCCATTTTAAAACGTCTTCTTGAGGTTCTTTGAAGCCCAAGGAAGAAAGCAGGTGCCAATAGGCAGAACGCTGTTCGTCCAAGTTCAGACTCCACATAAACCTGGCTTGCCCCAATTCAGCCTCATCAAATTCCAGACTCACTAAGCCTTTACTGACCGCCTGTGATGTGCCAGGCATTTGTTTTAGATTTAGAGTTGTCTATGAGTTCTCCTACACTTACTCCTGTAAGTGTCACGGTAAAGTCTCCCAACAGGTTGTGGCTGTCACAAGATTTTTGGCCGGAATGAGGAGCCGAATGCCCAAGGCCACAGAGCTAAGAGATGATAGAAACAGAAGCTGTGCAACCAGGCTTCCTGATTTTCAGACCAGAACTCCTTCCACCACATACAACTCAACCACACGGAAAAGTCTAGCTTCGTCTTGCTCCACACAGGACCCGCAAGTCCAACAGTCTGTGCCAATCCAAGTGGGAGAAGGTTCTCTGAGAACAACTGCGGCACGCCCTGGGATGGCAAAATGCCACTCATAGGACCATGGGAAAGCCTCCTGGGAGTGATTTGTGGTGGAACCAGCATCTGGCCCCTGAAGTGTGATTTTCAACAGGGAAACCAAGGCAAACAGCAGTGTTACGAGCCACTCAGCCATGATGGAAGCACCTTTCAAAGACTGTGCTCCAGTTAGCAAGTGTTTTTAGCAGATTCTATGTACTGTTGTCAAATCTGGCTTTGAGACTCCTCCCTGCTCTTAAAATAAACTTGCAAGCTAATTTAGTTACACAAGGCAGCCACTGCACAAAACCATCAACAACTCTTCCCCAGAACAGATTTCGCGACGGGAGAATGTAATTGCTCCCCAGCCCAGGAGTAATTTCTTTCCTTCCAGATTTTTCACTGAGACTGGAGTCTAAACTCAAAGCAATAATCATCTAAAAAAATGCCTCTGGGGTAATTGCTATCAGACCTGGGGCAGTTGAGTCCTATTGTAAAGAAGGCATTTTTCACGTTTGTGCCATTTTTTAGTCTGTGATTAGGGGAGGGGGAGGAAGAGGCAACAGAGGATGGGCGGGGGAGAGAATAAATCATTTGACTCTGCATACTCAAAATGTGGAGGAAGAGGAGGCGGAAGAGAGGTCTTGCCTGTCAGCTTCTCACTTGACTCCCATTGGCCAAACAATGTTTGGAAATGTTATTTCCACTCCCTTCCTCTTCTGGTTTTCTTCAAACAGTTTGGGAGTTAAGGACAAACCAGTGACAAGTTGGCAAGCTTAAAACTAAACATCAGCTACCCCCCCAAAAAAACTAAACATCATTTGCCATCTCTCCCCAGCAGAGATAAACACAAAGATCAACAGAATGCAAGAAAAATCCAAGTGCATTTTCAGGGCCAAGTAGAGCCTAGAGAATTGGAGCCGTGGAGCCTTCCCGGATCACGCAGTCTGACCACTCATTTTCCCACCAGAGAGCTGAAGCCCTGGTCCAAGGTCACACAGCAAGTTGTCCTTAGAACCAGGACCCAAACCCGGGCCTCCTGACTCAGAGCCCAGGGCTCTTTCTTTGGGGTTTGTGGAATCAGCTCTGAGTGTGTTTTACTGTGGGCTCTAAAACTCCGTGTTAAAAAGGGCACCCCCCATATAATGGCCCCCTAGATGGGAGGACTAGACGGACCATTATAACCAGGTCATTCCCACGCTCCATGCCAGGCAATGGGCCCAGCTGTGGGGAGTCGCCGGAGACTAGCAGTCATTGAGGGGAGGCTAGACTCCGAGTTAGCATCTGTCAGACAGAGTTTGGATAATTAAATCTGCTCACCAGAAGCAGAAGGGGCAGATGAGGACAGCTTAGTCAAGGCTGTCTAAGCAGCCTTGGCAGCCCCAGCCCCTCTACCTGTAGCTGCCTGTGTGACCCCCTCTCCACCCCTTCCACAGGCTGGCTGAGCCCTTCCTCAGTCACGGTAACCATGCTGGTCCCCATCCCTCCAGAGCTGGGCTTCTGCTGTGATCGTGCAGATTCCCATCCTCCCCAGGATGCAGCGCTGCCCTGAGTCCAGTCCTGTGGCCCTGGCTCTGCTGACACAGCCTACCCTAGGGGGCAGCAGGCTCTCAAGCAGCCCATCAGCGTGGCTGAACACCTATACTTGGAATTACGCCTCACTGGATCCAAATCCTGGCTCTACCACTTTCCAGCTGAGAAAACTCCTGATCTCTAGACCACAGTTTGTCTACCTATAACACAACTTATAGGTTTGTTTTGAGTATTAAATGAGATAATCTGTGTAAAGCACTCAGCATGGCGCCTGCTCAGGGTAAGCACTCAATAAATGGCAGCTCTTTTGATTTCTCAGAGGTCCCCTCTCTTGCCTGGCTCCGCCACCCATCGGTGTCTTTTCCTCTTGATTTCCCATCACTGTTCTGTCAGCTGGTTGAGTGATCTCCAGGGTTTTATGCTTGACACACACACCACCGCCACCTGCCCCTGCCCCTGCCCCCAAGCCCCACTCCACCATGTGCCTGCTGGAACCTCTCTACAGATACCGCAGTGGCAGCCTGCTAGCTGGGCTTCCTCCTCCCTGGGCCTGCCTCCCCCAAGGGTTGCCTTCCCCTTCTCCTCCAGCCTCCCCAGCAATCCTGCCTCGCTCCAGGCTGCCGTGAATAACCATGAATAACGGGACTGGCAGTCAATAGCTGCTGGGATAGACTCCTGACCATTTACTGGTGCTGGGACAGTCATTCCACAGTGAAGCATAGGCTCAGACCATTTCCATGCCACTGACTGTGGCAAAGCCCAGTCAGGTGAGAACAGCACTTCTCCCTAAAAGCCTTTAGTGAACTATTTTCCAGCAATGGAACCCATTTTAAATTCAGACAGAGAGGAGGAGACTCATAAAGGAGAGAGCACATTTAACTGGGGCGGCAGAGAGCTATTTCATTTCACTTCCCTTTGCCTAAATTTCTTTGTCCCCTCTCCCCCATTCGCTTACTCTAAATCAATGTTTCTCAAATTGTCTGTGGCAAGGGTCCAGTTGTCTATTTTCCCCTATTGACCGTGAACCAATACTTTTGTAAAACAGTAAAAGTAAATTACTATAAAACTAAAATGACCATTTGGACATCACAACAGTGTTCAATTGCTATAAAGTTTCTTAAATACTTTCAGTTTCTGTACTTATCTTTTTGCAGGCTAGCAAACATTTCACAGACCCAGACTAGTCCCTGGATCAAACTGAGAAGAGGGCTGCTTCTGGAAGGAACAGAGCCACAGAGGAGTCTGTCCGCCATGGACACTCCCCATCCTGGGTTTTTGTCCTGTAACGTGGTCTGCTCAGCAGCAGCCCTGACCCACCCAGAGCATGCAGTGCTGAGGTTCCTGGTGGGGTTTGCCCAGTCTTGGGTGAGTGCTGTTCCCTGAGAGTCAAGCAGCCCCCAGTGGAGGGATATGCCATGATATTCTCAGCCCAGGTGGAGCGGGCTGCCCCTTACCATTCCATTCCAGCCCTGTTGATCTCCTCCCACCAGCACTCCGTAGGCTCCCCGAGGCTCTGGGGCGTGGGCATGCAGGCGTAGTTCCATTGTCTGTCAGAACCTTCCTTCTTGTTGAAGATGCTCCTCACGGCCACCACCACCTGCCCCTGGGGGCACTGGTAGCTGAAGCCCTGCCGGTTCAGATTCACCCACCCATCGTCGCTATACTCATGGTACTGCTGGTACGGGTACTCGTAGTCACCATACTGGCCCCAGGCCACAGTGACCAGTGGCAGAAGCACCCACAGAAGAGCGAGGTCCATGCTGCCTGGGCTTCTGGCAGAAAACGTCACACTAGGTCTGCTGGGCTGCCCGTTTTATACAGCTGCTGCTGACATGTGGCTTCCAGATGTGGGTGAGCAGGCTCCAACTGTAGCATGTCATCATTTAAGCAAAACTTCTCGGTGCGGAGTTCCTGGCCATAAGTACAACCAGCTTGTTTTAAGGTGGAATTCTAGGAAAATGTAAGGAACACGCAAATGGAAGAAACTCCCCAGAGAAAGAACAGTTTTGCAGATGGATTATAAAAGCAAACGGCTTCACACTCCTTAGAGACGTTCACCCAACAAAAGCAGCATATTTGTGCCTCATCTCTCAGTACCTCATCTCTCTCTGCCCCCCACCAGCAAACCCCTATATTTGTTCTCCAAACTCGCCTTCTGGGACCACACAAATATCCAGAGAGTGGTTTCAAAACACCAAAATAATAGGATGAAGGGACAAAGTCACTTAGATTTCTGCAAGGTTAGATGCCTGGTTTCTTTTAAGTTCTCAGCCCAGCATCTTTTAACCCTGGGTATAAGCAGGGTGGACCAGTTTGCAAGGCTACTCTGAGAATTAAGTCACATATGGAAGTACCATGGACTTAGAAGTTGGGCCATATCTCTACCTTAAGCATCGTTCTAAGCTGCTGAAATTGGACGCCGTTACACCTGGAAACTGTGCTCTGCTCTCAAACATGTAATGAGTTTAATCTGAATAAAGCCACTTTTTATCCTTTGACGTTTTTTTCTTTACATGGAGTTTTCTTTTTATTGAGGTATAATTTACATATAATAAAATTCAACTTTTTTAATGTTTACCATACATTTAACCAGCACCATAATCAAGACATGGAACAGTTCCATCAACCCCCAAAATCCCCTTATGCCCTTCGGTAGTGAAATCTTCCCCCATACCCCACCCCTCGTAACCCCGATCTACTTTCTGTCACTATAGTTTTGCCTTTTCTAGAATGTCAAATAAATGGAATTATACAATAGTCTTTTGTGTCTGACTTTTTTCATTTAGGATAACGCTTTCGAGATTCATCCTTGTTGTGTGTGTCAGTAGTTCATACTTTTTGCTGTTGAATAATATTCTATGGTAAGGATGTATTACAGATTGTTTATATATTTACCAGTTGAAAGATGTTTGGGGGCCGGCCCCGTGGCTTGGTGGTTAAGTGCACGCGCTCCGATGCTGGTGGCCCGGGTTCGGATCCCGGGCGCGCACCGAGGCACCACTTCTCTGTTCATCCTGAGGCTGAGTCCCACATACAGCAACTAGAAGGATGTGCAGCTATGACATACAACTATCTACTGGGGCTTTGGGGGGAAAAAATAAATAAATAAATCTTAAAAAAAAAAAAAATGAAAGATGTTTGGGTTGTTTCCAGTTTTTGGTAATTATGAATAAAGCTGCTATAAACGTCATTGTACAGGTTTTTATGTGAACAAATTTTTGTTTCATTTAGGCAGATACCTAGGAGTGGGATTGCTGGATCACAGGGTAAGTGTATGTTTAACTTTATAAGAAATTACGTGATTTCTAAAGTGGCTGAACCATTGTGCATCCCTACCAGAAAACTGCTATTTCTTTTTTTATTTTAGCCATTTTAATAGGTTAATAGGTCTCCAGCAGTATTTCATTGAGGTTTGTATTTGTATTTCCCTAGTGACTAATGATTTTGAGTATCTTTTCATGTGTTTATCAGCCAACCATATGTCTTCTTTGGTGATTTGGCTGTTCAAATTGTCGAGCTCTTTGGGCATCTCCTAAGTGCATAGTATTTCCCTTTTTCAACAGGATTGTCCTTAAGGAAGTTTCTTAAAATTGTGATCATAGGCCAACTATCTCTTAAGCCCCTGTGAAGCTTGTTAAAACTCAGACTGCTGGGCTCCACTTCAGACCCACTAAATCATAACCTCACAGGGGGTGCCCAGTGCCTGCAACTAAAAAAAAGTTTTCCAGGTAATTTTTATTCACACCAAAGTTTAAGAACCACTTTCCTAAAGGAATGTGGAGCTGGGGGAAAAAATCACACTGTAAATCTCACCCCTCGCTCAACCTACAGCACATTTACCAGATGGCATTCAGGCTAGATTAAACATCGAGGGAAACTTGAAGGAGAAAGAAAGTCACACATGAAAAGAAGCAAACATGTATGTGTGTGGGCACGTGTGTGTGTGCGTTGGTCATGCAGTTCGCGCTGATGATCATGGTTACCAAAGGGAGGGGAATTGGCTCTGGGCTGAACAGGTATATGAGTCTCAGTTTTGTTTTTAGTACCATCTTCTCCCATCACTTCTATCCCTAAGTAACTTCCTGTTGCTGGCAATTGGATTCTTCCAAGCTTAGAGCGACCACTTTACTTTATAATATGCTGGAGCCATCATTCTCAACCCTGTCAGCACTCAAGAATTACCTGGGGAGCTTTTGAAAAACACCAGTGTGTGAGCCTCACGCCAGACCCATCGGCTCAGAAGTTTTTGAGCGGAGCCCAGACAACAGTCTCCTGTAAAACCTTCCTGGATGATTCTTACGTGCAGCCAAGGTTGAGAACCACCACTATAGAGGTTTTAAAATTTATCATCCTGCTGTTCATGGGTTACATCCTCCATTCTGGGTGTGACTTATGAGTAATCTTAAACCTTAAAGAGCTCCAAGAGACAATGCAAATCATTGTGAGCACTTATCTTTATTGTATAATAATTTTCTAACAACTTTCAGGCCCTGTCTGGTCTCCACTTTCTGCAGCCCTCTCTTATCTTACAGTTTAGACTATAAGCCCATGGCTGGACTCCCTGTAACGTGCCAAAGTAAACATCCTTGTAGTTTAGGCCAGTTTGGGTGTAGATTCCCGTGACTTAGAGCAGAAAGCATCCTAACTCATGCAATGCCTCAAGATTCCAGAAACTCCTGAGGCCTTTGAGTGAGTTGCTGGAGGCCTCGTAGAGAACGGTTCCCCCAGCAGACATTCAGAACGAAGGTTTAATGCATTCATAGTTAACCACGCATTTTCAACTTGGCTATCCCGTTATCTTTCTCACAACCTTATAACATATATTAGTGAGGCATTGTTGGGATTCGTTTTTCACGGATGAGGAATCTGTGGTCAGGGAGTTTTTTGGCTCAAATTCTGAGAGCTGGAAGGTTACGACCTCCAGGTCTTCTGATTCCTCTTCTGCCGTTCCTTTCATCATCTCATCAAAACTGTAGTCACTAATTACATATAAATCAACATTTAGAAGTAATTGCCAAACAACATATGTATAAAGTTATCTACATTAACACACACACATAACTAATTTGCACTACAGATTTCTGCTGTTATTGGTAAAATACGCTCAATAGGCCCTTGGGACCTTCAAGAATTAAGTATTAGATCAGTAGTTTTCAAAGTGTGGTTCTAGGGCCCACAACATCAGCATCACTTGGAAACTTGTTAGAAATGCTCATTCTCAGGCTCCCCACAGACCCACTGACTCAGACATTCTGGGAAGGGGCCCAGCAATCTGTGTTTTAACAAGCCCTCCGAGTGTTCTGATGAGAACCACTACATAGAAGATAGCTTAGAAAATGCTACCCAAATTCCAGAAGTCACTTGCTAAAGAGTAATATAGTGATACTTAAGCCTATCTGACCCCAACTCATTCATTTTTATTCCAGAGCCCAGACTGCAATCACTGGGCTGTCTCACCTCCTAGTAGTAACGGACTTGAGATGTTTTGGAGAGACTCTGCCAATGAGCATTTCAAAGCCTGGATGATTCTTTTTTTCCTTCTCTTCCTCTTTCTCCTCTTCCTCCTTTTTCTAACAGCTTTACTGAGATACCAGTCACATACCATACAATTCACCATTTAAGGTATATAATTCAATGGCTTTTAGCATATTCACAGAGTTGTACCACCATCACCACAATCAATTTAGAATATTTTTATCAACCAATAAGAAATCCTATACCCATTAGCCCTAGGTAACCACTAATCTGCTTTCTGTCTCTATGGATTTGTATAATCTGGCCATTTTATATGAATGGAATCACGCAATACGTGGCCTTTTGTGACTAGTCTTTCACTTAGCATAAATGTCTTCAAGGTTCATCCATGTTGTAGCAGGTGTCAGTACTTCATTTATTTTTATTGCCAAATAATATTCCACTGTATGGATATACCACATGCTATTTATCCATTCATAAGTTGATGGACATTTGAGTTGTTTCCACCTTTTGGCTATTATGAACAATGTTGCTATGAACATTCATGTACAAGTTTTTGTGTAGCCATATGTTTTCATTTCCCTTGGATATGTACCTACAAGGGGAGTTTCTGGGCTATATGGTAAGTCTATGTTTAACTTTTTGAGGAACTATCAGACTGCTTTCCAAAGTAGCTGTACCATTGTACATTCCCACCAGCAGTATATGAGTGTTCCAATTCTGTACATCCTCACCAATCCTTGTTGGTAGGCCTGGGTTCTTTGGAAAGCTGTGGAAAGCCACAGCCACTCTGCTGAGTGGAGCCTGAATCCACTCCTATCTGGCAGCTTCCTCAAAGTTATAACCTCTTTTTGAGAAATTCTGAATACACTGCTTTGGCCTGATCTCCGTGGGGAGCCCACAGAATGGCCCTAAAATCAACTCAACCCTCTGAGTGAGTTACTTTCACACTTTCAGGATTGGGGCAGATCCTGTTTAATGTTGGCAGGAAAAACAGTGTATACTCTTGGTACCACTCTAGAGCAGACCTGAACCCACTGGAGTATTCTGGGTATGACCTGTTGGCTCCATGGACAAGCTATTGGAAGGGCAGAGGGTATGGCTCATCCTAGTGCCTGGATGAAGATGGTAACCCCAGATGAACAGATGCTTAGCCTGAAATATTAACTAGAAATTATTGGAGGATTACATTTTTGCATATTTTCTTTTTTCCCTCTTAACTCCTCTGTATAATCAGGATTTGGCTACAGCTCTGTGTGGCCAAAGTTCAGGGTTTTTATATACATACAGTCAGGAACTTCACGGCAAGTGTCTGCTGAACCATTCATGTTCTCCCTCCAAAAAGAATATTCGCCAGCCTCACAGTTTAGCTGAGAAAGGTCTCAAA